TCATTTCTTCTGAGTGGTCCCTCCACCCTTTTTTCTCAAAGGAAACCTGGATCTCTACTGAGGACTCTGCTTCCCTTTTTGTACTCAAATGTGTTTTTATTTTGCTTCTAAATATTTTCATCTCTTTTGTACCTCAGGGCCAGAGTAGTAGTGTTTTCCGGGACTTCTACTGCCTCATGTTTCTCTATCCTCTTGTACAAAGCAAGCAAACCCAACAAAATCTGCCCTGGATCTTTGAGGCTTAGATAATTTGACAATATTGTCATCTACCAATCTCCCACTTACTCCTCCTAAATTATTGAAGATAACAGAGCAACTACTGTGTGTTTTAATCCTGCCACCATTCTGGGTGACTTCAAAATAGCCATCCAATACTCATGACATCTGAATTGTTTTACCTCTTCTTCACCAGACCTACTCCTCTGCTGCCACCCATTACCGTAATCGCAATTTGTCATCACCCGAAACAGCTCTAATTCCAAGATCGCTAATTGAAGCATATCACTCTGCCCAAGATCTTCAATCTCTTCCCCTAGCTTGCTTAACTATATCACTTATGATTATTCTTTGAATTCTGAACTCAAACTCAATCCTTTGATCCCTTTTCTCGATACCAAGCCATCACCTATCTCCTTTCTTCTTTCCCTCTTACATCTAACTTAAAGTTCATTTATAATCACGCTCTTTTTAATATTCCAAACTTCCTTGTTTTGTTTTTAAATATTTTTCATCCTTTAGAATATTTACCCTCCCAGAGAATCTCAGTCCTGCATGAAATCAACATTTTCCTTATTACTTGCCTGCCAGAAGCCTAAGTGGTCTGGACTGAATGTTTGTGTTCCCCCAAAATCCATACATTGAGGCCCTACCTCTCAATGTGATGGAATTTGGAGATGGAGCCTTTGGGAGGTGATTAGAGTTAGATGAGATCATAAAATGGATCCTAATAATGGAATTCATGCCCCTCTAAGAAGAGACACCAAAGAGCTCATTCTCTTTCTCTCACCTGCTTATCCCACTCTGCACACAAAGAGGACATGTGAGGACATAGGGAAATGTTGACCACCTACAAGCCAGAAAGAGAGTTCTCCTAAGGAGCCCAATTGACTAGCACCTTGATCTTGAATTTCCTGGCCTCCAGGACTATGAGAAAACAAATTTCTATTGTTTAAGACATCCAGGCTATGGTGTTTGATATGGCATCCTGAGATGACCAAGACACTAATAATACCAAAGAAAGTTACACAATAGGGTGGATGTGTCCCATGGTAAATCCATCATTGCCAGTTTCAAATGGGTCCTCACACACTGAACAGGAGTCCCAGACTTCGTTAGTCAACTTACTTTCCTACTCACAGTAAGAAGGACTATTTGAATCTTTCGACCAGTGATGTTGTCTTTTATTTGGTATATCAGAAGCTATCAGACAGGAACTTGATCAACTTTCTAATAATAAGAAGTTCAAAACAACTTACATCTGCACACACACTCCCACCTTTCTCTCTGATTACAGTTGAGAATTGGTACCTTTAAAGCTCATCCCAGCCATCTGTGCCTTTGCTTTTCTGCATTCTTATTTCTGTTCATTTTTCTTTCATGCCATATTAACCTTTCCCTCCCAGTGAATTCATTCTATTAGTTTTACAAAGTGTTCAAGTCACTTCCTTGAAAAGGAAGAACGCAACAATAGGGATAAAAAACATCCCTCTACTCAACATTTACCTATGCCACCCCCTTGTTTCGTCCCCTTCACAACTTTTGAAAGAAGTTACATGATTTGCTCTTTCCACTGATTCTTACTCTCCTTTTTGGCTTCACCATCATTGTTCTACTGAAACTGTTGATCTTAAGGTACTGTGTATATAAAGGAAATCAGCTTTATGTCCATTCTAAGAGTTTCAAGTATGTTTTCTCAGACTGTAATTTTTCCTATGCTTGTGTTTATGGAGAAACTTGCTTTGAGGATATTTAAAAATTTCATGTCTTCAATTTTATTAGTGTTTTCTGTATGGGTGCTGGGTTTGGGCACACTTAGAAAGCCCATTTCTTCTTTGAGATTAAAATAAATAATGATTTGGTAATCTCTCTGGTTATATATTTTAGATTTGAGGACGTTTTATATGTTACAGTTATAATTTTGTCTTTTTTTGATGGGGAGAAATAGGAAATTGGGAAAATGTTGAATAAGTATAGTCTTGCCCCTTCAATTCTACAGAATTCTTATAGGTTAAATTAGGCATCTACTATTTTCACTATTTTTATTGTGAGTCTTTTTGCAGCTCTAGATAACCTTTGTGCAAATGCTCAGATAAAAAAAGAATTGCAATTGGTGCTGAGAATTGCAATTGGTGCTGAAAGAAGTTTAAAAAGTAGTGTGGAAAATCATGTAGCTCATCAGTAGTATTTTATACTGGATATAGCTGATTAATTATCTCCAGATTAGTAATCTAGACCAGGATCTTCAATCTCTTCCCCTAGAGGAAGAATGAGACACAGGACATACTGCTCAGGATAATTAAGGAAAGGCTTTATCAAATAAGGCCTCCATGTGGCAGTTTAATGACATGTTGCACATACAAAAAATGGCTGTCTTAAAGTGCAATCTTGTTCAGCAAGTACCAATGTCAACTGAATCCCTCTAAAGGTAACATATGAAAAATAACATTATTACCTAATCATCTAAGATGGAGTTTTACTAAATCTTCAGTCATAAATACAAATTTGTAGTACAAATAACATGAAAATGTATTAGAGGCTACAAAGCCGATTTTGAAAATAACGACACCTCACTTTTCTCCATTTGACATGACCACTCCGTTTTGTCTTCTGAAACTCAGAAATGTTTCATTTTTGAGAGAATATATGTGTGTTCTCTCCCTCCCACGGGACAAATCAGCACGGATGTCTAGGAGTTTTCTTGATAACTGATGGCTTTCCAATCTTTTCCCTATGCAGTTTTAACCTGTGTTTAAACAACAATAACAATTTTGAACAGCATTTACCATTGTCAGTGTAAATATTTGTTGAGACTGCATGCATAACTAGTACATCAGTTTCTTGATGGCTACTTCCGAATTCAAACTGTTGGGCTAGCAAGGAGAGACAAGTTAAGTTCAAGCTTCTAGGAGGGTAAACTTATGATACTTGAGGTCACCACTGAGCAGAGAAGAAATGTTTGGAACAAGTGCAGTGACCTAGAAAACCCTCCTGTTTTGACTGAGAAAAACCAAGTTTAAAGTCTGGATTATTTTCTTTTCATTTTAATGCATCAATATTTATTGTAATAAATTAGTCAAGACAAACTTTTTTTTCCTATACAGATTTTTAATCTGCCATAAGACTTAGTAGCTGAGAGGGCTCTCTTTGACTTGATGTTTTTAAATAGAGATTTAAATAGTTTTACAACCTCAGAAGTTAGTACAGCTTTATTTTATACAAATCTGTTCAACATAGAGTAACAGTACCTCCTGTAGTACTTTGTATAATATACATGAAGTACTTAGATATAAATTATACCTTCTAAGCTGTATATTCTAAAACATTCTTCTTTGACAGAAACTTCAAAACCAGTGGTGGAAGTTATATGGATGTTGGAGCCACCAAAACTAAAATTTCAGAAAAACAATGCCAAAAGAGACTGCAAGTTAAATTTAACTAACGTCTATTGAGAACCTGTTCTTTGCACAGCATTGTGCTAGGCCCCACAGGGACAGCAGTCACTAAGGATTTCACCCTAAAATATGGGAATATTGACACAAGCGTAAGTGCACAGACAGATTTAGGTGAGTGCTAGAGAGCTCCGTGGCGGAAACCAAGACATTCTCGCTGGTAAAGCCGGTGGGGCGGACAAGCTCTAGAAAGTGAGCGGTAGGTTCCCAACACAAGCGACGAAGGCGGCCCTTCCGGCTTCTACCTACGGAGCCGCCGGGCCGGGCCGGGCTCGTCGAACTGCCTCTCGGCTGATGGCCCCCGACCACTCAATTCGGGGGACACTGCGCGGGACGTGAGAAAGACTGTACGCTCTCACCGCCTACGTTCGTTCTTATGTGGGCGGCTGCAGGAACTCCTGCGACTAGGGTAGGGGCAACATGGTGTGGAGAGTTAAGAAATTCCACACCATACGCCCCAAGAGGGATAGTCTACGGGTAGCCTCCCTGCTTCGGCTGTCTCGGTTTCTCAGGCCACGGTAAGGCGTTCGGACAAAAGGAACCCCGCTCCCTTCCTGGAAGCCTGGCTCTGGGTCAGATGGAGCAGCTGGCGCTGCTGCATTCTCCACTCTGTAGCTATGGATGCCACAGGACTTGGGGGTCGGCTTCCAGGAAAAAGATCAGCCTTTAAACCAGTTAGCGCACTCCGGGGCCCCGCATCCCACAATTCCCGTGCAAACTGCAGCGCCGTTCCCCGGCGTGCAGACTGTCTGCGGCATGCGAGCCAAGAGCGCGAGCCCGGCGTCTTGACAGCTGCCCACGCGCCGGGGCGGTACTCCAGCACGTTGCTTTGGAGAGCAGCACGGCCGGCCCCGCCCCTCGCGCGCCGCGATTGGCTTCAGGTGGGGCTGTGTTAGCCTGAAGGGCGCCGGCAGAGCGGGGCAGCGCGCGACAGGCTCGTGGCCTCACCTCAGCCCTCCCGGCTGGGGCGCTAGCGGCGTCTGAGCGCGGGTGGTTGGGCGTGCGGGGCAGGCGTGCACGCGCGCGGACAGCCGAGGACCCTCGGGAAATAGGGAGATTCCGACGCCAACCCGCACGCGCGAGCGCGAGGGCGAGGGCGGGGGCGGTGCGTGCGTGTGTGCACCAGAGTGTGTGTGGAGCTCCAGGGCTGAGCGCGAGCCCTCAGGGCCCGGGTGCGAGTTCCCCGCCGTCCTCTGCATCCCCCCTCTCCCGCTCCTTTCCTACCGCCCTCCCGCGCCCCCACCTTCGCACGCTGAGCGAGAGCCGGGGGAAGCAGGGGTGGGGGGCGGGAGGGATCGCACGAGACAAAAGGGGTGGGGGCCTCAGCCTGCCATGGCCTCCCGTAGCCTGGGGGGCCTGGGCGGGAGCCGGGGAGGGGGCGGCGGCGGCGGTAGCGGCAGCGGCAAGAAGAGCCTGAGCGCCCGCAACGCTGCGGTGGAGAGGAGGAACCTGATCACGGTGTGCAGGTACGGCGCGGCCCGCAGCCGGGGACCGGGGCCGGAGGCCGCCGGCGCCGCGGGTGAGCCCCTGGGGGCCCCGGCGACCGGGCTGGGGCCCCAGTCTCCGCCTTACCAGGCGTGTCCCCAACGCGAGCACCCTGAGAGGGACCCGGGTCTGGGCACCGCCGAGGCCCCGCACTTTGCGTCAGTTCCAACACTGAAAACAGCCCAGTGTAGGGCTTGGGGCGGGGCTGGGAGAGGATTTGTTTTGAATGTACAATCTAGTGTCAGTAAAAGGACAGAAGGAAGACCGCTTTCACTTAGTGAAAAGCTGTCAGCCAGCTTTTCGTGAAGTAGTCGTTACCGTGATTGTTTACTGTGCTGCCTCAAAATCGGAATGTATTTTTGTTTATTTGGTTTGTTTCCGTATACATTAAGTCATTTAAATCCACAAATATATAGAGTGCCTACATGCCAGACGTGTGTGTGTGTGTGTGTGTTTCCTCCCCACTATTTTATTAGTGCTAGTGGGGTGTTCTGCATCTGTTAAAAGTGGAAACGTGGAGGTACCTGACTCTTCGTGGCAATGAATGTATTCCAAGGTCTGCCTTTCCTTAAATGTTGTATAATTGTAAATGTAGTATTCCTTTTCTCTAGAAAATATAGAAACATACAAGGAATAATTGCCATATAATCCTAGTATTCAGAAATAACTGATTTTTAACGTGCTGATATATTTTCTTTAAGTCTTTTTTCTGAGTATTAAAAAAGCTGAAGTCCTGGGCATTCATTTCTTAGGAATTTCTTTGAGCCATTAAGTTGTTTTAAAATTACTTCATTCCATCAAACCCCTCTTCATCAACCATCAATACTTTTAAGAATTAGAGAGTTACAGGATTTTTTCTTCCTTTGCAATCTGTGTTTTTCTTTTTTTGTTTGTGTAAAAACGTGTCTAGCATCTTATGTGGAATACAGGTATTTATACTAGGACTTATATTCAATAACTTTGACTATTTTTTTAAACTTGGGTGATTACAGATGTTTGCCTATCTAGCAGGAACACCTGACTCACTGAGTGTTAGGCACTTTTAAATTGTAAGCAGTAAAGTAACAATGGAATCGGTTTAATTTACCATTTGTGCTTCCTAGTGAAGAAGACAGGCTGTATTTAACATTTTTTAATTTAGCCAAAATATTTTTAAGTTAGGTAAATAGAACAATAAGCAAGTCTGATTTGCTTACCTTTATTTTACAGATACTTAAACATGTTTTTAAAAAGAGGATGGTCTTAAGCAGGCTCCAACATATATAGTGCTTCTTTGGGTAATGCATTTTATAAAAGCTCCTTCAGAGTTAAACTTCACAGGGCAGAGACCTTGTCTGCTTTTTCCCGTCTCCTTTTTTTAAATCTTACTTTTCACTGTAGCATCTGACACTAATGAATAACTTCAGTGGTGGGTACTGTTTTTTTTGCTTCCTCATTTTTGTTATGGCTGGTTTTAGGTCATCAAATGAACATTTTCTCATTCATCAGAGAAAGTTTGGGAGAAGAAAGGGACTTGTATCTTAACCTTATTTAAATTACACTCTAAATTGTGTTTAAGAGTTTCAGTCATATCACACAGATTTGTGTGAACACTGGTCTGGGCTGGTTTTACAGTATTTTCATTTTTATTTGCACAATTCTTTTCTGTGAAATGAATGTAAGTGCTGACTTCAGTTGCAATTTACACATGAATTTAGTATTGTGGCTAAAATAAATTTTAATATTTGGCTTAAATTTCAACTTGTGTGTTTGTGTGGATAATACTAAGTCTGTTCTTCATGTCCAAGTAGTTGATGGTGCATGTAATCCATGTCTAGTAAAGGGATCTGTTTAATAAGCTCTGTCTAAAGGGTTTTACTTTTTGGAAAAAAAGTCACTGTAAATCATTTGTATGTTTTAAATAGCCTTGTCTCAAATTGAGCAAAATGAACAAATCAATATTTATGCATTTCTTTTGCTTCTTTCTGCCTTTCAGCGTTACCAAACTATGGATATCTCACCCATGTCTCTTAATGAATACATTAAAAATTTTTATGTATCAAATCACGTGGAGTTGGGTAGAAGTTGGTTTAGTGGAAATAGAACTGAGTTCTAAATTTATTTTGTTATTTACTAGTTGCATGTCCTTTAATAAGCCACACAACCTTCCCATTTTCCAGTTTTCTCATCTGTAAAATCTTGGACTAGATCATTGATAACCTTCAAAGAGAATCATAAAACTGATAATAGCCTTCAAGCAGAAAGTGTTTATATTTAGTTTTGTATTTCTCCAAATATGAGCAGAGTATTAGTAGGCATATGTTTAATGGTAGCTCAATGAGGCTGTGCATCTTTCTGTCTAAACAAAAACATTTTGAACTATTCCTTTCGTTTGCTGATTCTCTACTGATATTTTGGAAAAATTGAACAGTTTACAAAAGCAAACCAAAACAAGACAACCTCCCTTCATCATATCATTATCAAATAGATTCTACTATTAATACTTTACTATTAAAAAGTGTCTATTAATAGTTATACAGTAATGCCTTGCCTTACTCCTTAAATGTCTTAGGCATACTCTCAGTTTAGATTTAAAGCCTTATTATATAACAACACAATTCTTTAGGTTTAAAGCCTTATACAAGAACATTGTTGTTATAATTTTGAACTTCGGAAGTTGGTTGGCTCAGGAATTGAATTGAACTTCTGTTCATTGAGTTTCTTATGTAATTATTTCACCCATTTGGTTTTTTCAGTAAATGTTTAGTGTAGACTAAAAATACTGGTATGATACTTATTTTGGCAAGTAAAGTTCGGTTTTACCAATTTTTCATATATTGTGGTAGAGAGAAAGTAGGTCATTTGAGGCCTCTAAATATTGAACATGCAACTCCAAAATATTCACAGAGTGACTTCAGCTCTGGGCTCCAACTAATATTTTCCCTGAATATTTTCTACTATTTAGAACTTTGAAAAATTAATTTGGTAAAGTCCTGCAGGCTTTTTTTAACCTGCATTTTTCATCCATTGAAAATCAGGTGGTTTAGTAAATTTTTGCCATTTTTAAACTTCATGGTTTATTGAAAAGTTTACATATTCCTTTGATTTTAGTTCTGTTAAAAGATAATTAAAATCTAAATTCCTTTTTTATGGGTTAACATTGCTTTATGAGAAGATTGTTCAAATATACATTAATATTAAAACATGCATAAATTTAAAAATGACGTTTAACTTAAATCAGTGCTTTAAGAGAAACTCTTCACAGTTATGATTTTGCCTGTCTTGTGCACAGAAAGGATTAACAAGAGTAATTGAAGGAGATAGTGTGATGAGTAGAAACAAATGATGAGTTTCAAAAAGTACTTCTGATAAGATGTACATAGTTATTTGTAGATTTCTATAGGATCAAGATATTATTTCATAACTCGAATATTATTTCAATAACAGCGCATCATTTTTCCAGTGTAGTCAGGGAATGAGATGGTCATATTTTCCATGCAACTATTGTTTGAGTTGTTTAAAACTCTCCCATCAACTGTAGTGCTTTATTTGAAATTTATTGTGGAGTGTGATCTTGTGTATAACTGAAACTTATAATTTAAGTGTTCATATTTAAACCACAATAATCATATTTAAAACATTTTTTTGATGAATTGCTTTAAAAATGAATCACATATTTTCCTACATTCTTTAAAAAGACTCTCCTAGCATAACATCCTTATTGATGACGTTACTGTGGATCTTGAATATGCTCTGTGCAGTGGCTGCCCTTGTTGGCTCTTGAGATACATAGAGCTTTCTGTTGCATGGCCCCAGAAGGTTGTGTGTTTGGAGTTCTTTGTCTGCTTTTGCATTCTGCTGTCTCTTCCTACCAAGTTAGCTGTTATTTCTTACAATTTGCCTGTTTCTAGTAGCTTTTTTCTTTGTGCTTCCTCTCCTGACTTGTTCATTATAATTAGTTGTGAACTAGGAAAGCAGATAAATAAATTTATCATGTATTAAAAAAAGAGGTACCTGCAGGCCTGAGTTAAGTGAGAAGACTTTAACACTTTGAACTTAACATTCTGGTTGCCAAGTAATCAGGAAAAAATGTGTATTCCTGTGCTTGAACTTGGTGGGTAAAATGCAGACATGCAAAATGTTATTGAATATTATTGGCAGTGTTAAATAGCCATATATTCAGTGAATTACTTTTCTTGTTACTATTTGCTTTTGTATGCCTCATAAGACTGTTCCTGTTGGCTATAGTGACATTAGTTACATTGCTTTGGAGCAGGTTCAGTATCATTTCCAAGGATTCCTAGAGTTCTTGTAGATGTTCGCAATGGATGTAGGATGATCATCTTCTCAGCTGTGAGTCCTAGCCACTTTTGTATTCAGTCTTACAGGTTAATAAAATAAATTTCTGAGTCAGTCCAAATCATCAGAAAACAGCTGGGTATGTAGATAGCAATGCTTTGCACTCTCCTTTTTCCAGTTGTTCTTACCTAATTGAACATTGGTACGATTCCATCAGCCTGCACTGAAGGTCATCAGAAGAAGCGATCAGAGAGGGACTTCTTGAAGTTGTGAAGAGCATTATTATGTCAAAAAGTCATCTTTTTGAGAAGATTTTTTGAGAAATGTCTGTCTTATTTTGGTGCCAAGAATTGTTTCTAGGCAGTTGATTAATTTATATCTACTGGACACAATGAATGTGGAAGTGACAACTTCTCTTTTTCTCAGACAGCTTTAGAAATTTTAGTGTTAAATCTGTAGCCAACAGATACCTATGTAGAATATCAGAGTAAGTAGTGCATTTAGCCTTATTCTTAGCTCTACTTTGCTCCTGCATTTTTCATATAATTTTTATTGACTTACGCATACAGAACAGTGCACACAGCATAAGTGTACAGCTCAGTGAAATTTTGGGGAAGAGGACACAGCATTGTAACTATCACCCAGGCCAAAAAGAAAAAAAAAAGAACATTACCCAGAGAAAACAAAATCACTGTCTTGAAAA